ACCTACCAATCCAGACCCAAACAACCTACCGAATGAGACCATAACAACCTACCAATCCAGACCCAAACAACCTACCGAATGAGACCATAACAACCTACCAATCCAGACCCAAACAACCTACTAATCCAGACCCAAACAACCTACCAAATTACACCATAAAAACCAACCAATCCAGACCCAAACAACCTACCAAATGAGACCATAACAACCTACCAATCCAGACCCAAACAACCTACAAGTCCAGACCCAAACAACCTACTAGTCCAGACCTAAACAACCTACCAAATGAGACCATAACAACCTACCAATCCAGACCCAAACAACCTACCAAATGAGACCATAAAAACGAACCAATCCAGACCCAACCTACCAAATGAGACCATAACAACCTATCAATCCAGACCCAAACAACCTACCAGTCCAGACCTAAACAACCTACCAAATGAGACCATAACAACCTACCAAATGAGACCATAACGACCTACCAAATGAGACCATAACGACCTACCAAATGAGACCATAACGACCTACCAAATGAGACCATAACGACCTACTAAATGAGACCCAAACAACCATCAAGACCCAAACAACCCATTCGTTTTGGAAAAATCAGCATGGCCTCAGCAATAAAATTGCTTAAAATGAATAAATTGATGTTAAAAAATATTTTGCACAGTGTGTTAAATGTATTTATTTCTACAATAAAGAATAAACTGTAAACCCAAATATTTATTTCCCGCTTAAAATAATTATTATTTAAACTTAAAAAGTAAAGAATAATCAATGATCATTTGAACTTAAAAATAAATATTGTTATACTTTCACCAATAATTGGCTAATTATCTGTAATAAGTTTGAAAAACCAGTTTCAATGCATCATTTCTGCAGGTACCAGGAGCTCAGGATTTGGTGGATTTCTCTCCAGTTTATCGTTGTCTTCATATCTACACTGTTCTGGTGAGTCCTCCTTCCCCTTCAAGGGAAACATCAGTAACCTCAGCTGTAATCCCTCCTCTAATCCCTGCCTACCTCGTGCACGCCACTGCTAATTTAAAATTGTTATGCAGGTGGTTTACCTTCTCGTTAGGTGAAACCATGAATTCACAGCATGTCACTTGTTAGGTATTGTTGGTGTGTTTAAACTTTTTAAAGGTTCCTTCAGCGAGTTTAACACAGAACACATCAGTCCTGTGGAGTCTTCCTCGATGGGTTTCAGTTTGAGGTTGTAAACATCGGGAGGTTTATGTTCTGAAAACCTGCTGGTGGTGTCGGACGAGGCCTCCGGCTCGAGCCTGGCTCTCCTCCAGCTGGGCTGCGTGTCTCCTCTCAATCTGAGTGAAAGCGACATGGGTGGAGGTGTTGACTGGGCCATGGCTGGGTCAGCTGTGTGTCTGTGTGTGCTTGTAGGGGTTGTGGCCAGGCCAACATGG